AGATTTTTTTTTTTTTTTTTTTTGTGTTGACTATCTCCTCCTGCTTTAATGTTACAAGGATCAATCTCAGCAAAGACCTTCTGTAGTTTGTTGCTATGTATTTTCTAACTGGTCGGAATTGACAATCAAAAATCCCATAGACTTACATTGGCTGAGCAATAAAAGCTGAAATGCTGTCCACTAGAGGGAGTCACAGGATAGGAAATCTTTTAAGTCCACTCTTTACTTTCCTTATCCAAAAGTTAAGATGAGAAATTAATGCATATATTTAATTTATACTGCCAACCCAACATATTAGATCCTTATCGATCAGAGCTCGACAATAACTGCCCGATGGCCAGAGGAGAGTTGACAGATTTGCCACTTGCACACATACATACATGCATTATGCATTTACCCAGGAGTGTCCAATCCTACTCCTGGAGGGCCAGTGTCATCCAGAGTGTAGCTCCAACCAGCTCTAACACACTTGCCTGGACGTTTCTAGTGACCCTGATTAGCTGAATCGGGTGTGTTTAATTAGGGTTTAAACCCTTAGCTTAGTTAAGTTAAACTCTGCAGAACATTGGCTCTTCAAGAACAAGTCTGGACACCACTGCATTAACCCCAAATATGCACTCATACCGCAAAACAGCAAAACTTTCCAATAATAAAGTGCAGGTGACTGTTTAGTACTTCAATAACTGTATGTAGCTTATCACTTTGAAATTGGCAAATCTGCGGCCGTTTACATCTGGCCTAGTAGTCATAACTTAATTGACTATCATTTTAAAGTAAGGTTGTGCACACATTGTTTTTGGTGTCCTCTACATCTGTTTTGTGCTATTAACGTTTATGATTAATCAATTAATTGAATAATTTTACCAACAATTCATTGTTAAACATCTGAAACAAATATAACCAAAATCAACTAAAAGTTAATTACCTGAAACTTTCTCCTTTTAGAATGTAAATAATATTTATATATATATATATCAAATTGTTGACTGGGTTAGAAGTTCTAGCTCACATCCTCATCTTCTCAGAATCTAACAGAACCGCAGCCTGAAGGTGGGTCACTGATGTGAGGCCTTTATCTTCTATCGAAGTCACTCTGGGATTTGAGTGAGCCAATGAGGAATGGTAACTTTGGAGGGAAATTTTATGAATCTTTGTCTCAGAGCATGGTATTTTGCATATGTAATTCGATTGGGTGTTGATGCAAAAACTACTAAAGATTCTTAGAACACTAATATATTGCCTATGTACCAACATATAATATAC